AGTTTGGCCCAATTTATCTGAATAAGGTATTGAATTGAATCTGATTCTGGCTGTACCTTCCCCATCTTTATGAATAATTTCGATTTGGAAAGAATCAGTCGTGAACGGAGTTCTTGATTGTCTTGAAGAGCAGTTGAGTGAAAGTGATTCTTCAATATCACAGGTGCAAAACTTAGCAGTTGAAAACACTGGCCTCTTCACAGCACTTGCGAATGTTGCGGCCGTCATAGTTAAAGTTCTCGGAGGACCAGTCAGCGATTTGGCAACATGTGTGTCGCCGAAGAATCGAGTGAAACTGTTCACACTTCTTTCGCAAGGTTCGATTTCGAAGCACTATTTGAAACTAGAGCGATTCTTTCATAGATAACATTGGAAAGCGGCTCTGTGAATGAAACGTATCCGATTTTATGAGTTGAATGGTCAAAACGCTCGAAAATTGCGATCGAAGCAGATTATGTTTAGATGAAACGAGATATACGAACAACCATTCACCCTTTCAGGAACAATGGCAGTGGCATTCANTATGTGAAAAATTACACAGTAGCTATCATTATGTACATAGTTGCAGTTGCCTTCAGTGGTCTTATGTGGGTTGGACCGGTGAAAAGTGGCGCTATTGTAAGTTTTTTCGCGAGAATCAATATCATATTTATCAAAATTATTGGAAATCCGGACTGAAAGACTTCTTGTTCAGGTTTCAATGCAGCACTCACATTTCGTCTTTTTGATTGTACAATTCATCAACAGCGTTGGTATCATTGTATTACCACCATTCGTCAACGGAATTGCATACGACAACAGTTGGTTGCATTGGTATCTTACTTAGTCTTTGTCTTCAAATTTCATTAGTTCGATCCTTATAATCGATCAAATAACAAATACTATCATATTCGTCGTAACCGCAATAATTTCATTTGATGCTATTGTTAAGTATGGAATAATCGCACTGTTAAATGTAATCATTCCCTCGACTAATTGCGCTTTCATGATCGATCGCAAGATTCCAGGCAAATCATATTGCTTTCAATTTTTGGATCGGTGGTCATATGTACAGCGGTTTTCCTATTTACTGGCGAAGCTGAGCCCGCATCGTGGACGAAACCACGTCCAGATTACCGGCATCGCCGTACGACAACAGGAGATCTTATTGTCCCTCATCCACGACTCATGTCATTTTGATTGGTTTCGACTGGATGACGGCCATCTTTCGAAAGAAGAACGAACTTCGACATTGGCCCATATGTTACAGTTTCATTGTTCATTTGAAAAGAACCTCAGACATAAATACGAAACGATTGATTTCACCATTTTGATTGCCTTCAATAGCAGATTTATCCAAATTGAATAGATCTTCTGCGTTGTGTATGCACACACCGTAATTGGAATCCCGTAATATGTCAGAAGAAAAGGAA